TAAAAGCACAACATGTGAAAATTCTGTTCTTGAACTGAAAGAAAATCATTTGTGGTTCTGTTGCAAGGCCTTCCGTCATTTTTCATTCAAAGCATTAGAATAACTGATCCATATACTATAAATATAATAAGAATGTTATGTGTTCTTTCTTTCTTGATAAGTACACAGGAGTTTTTATTTTGTTTTGATTGATTGCTTGCTTTTTTACTATTTCGTAGCTTGAAAGGCCTACCCTTTAAGTTGGTTGGAATATGGAGCTAGTTCTGAAGGAGCTATCAACAGGGCAACCGAACAGGCACCAGCATCTAAGAAACTCATTACTTGGACCCCTAGCTCTGTGGAGAGCTGAATTTCCAAGCACAGACTGCCCATCTGCCACCACCAGCTCCCGACATGATCCAAGGATGGCTAAGGTCTCCTGGCCCTTCAGGTGCTGTGCTGCACCATGCCAACAACGGACACGTGGGTGTGTACAGGGAGTAAGATGCAGGCAGGAAACGCAGTCGTCTCCTTCCCTCCATCCCATGCAATTTTAGGGGGAGAAAACTGGTGCAACTGAGGAGGAATTTAAAAACTTACATAGTACCAACATTTGTGGCTCTCTGAACTCTACTTTTCCTTTTAACTTAATTTTTCTCCTTAGGGGGCTATTGATGAAAAAAAGTAGAAAAACGTTTCTCTAGTCAAGCATCCCCTCTCCCCTTTTTATTAAGCTAAAATAAAGCCAGTTCCTGAGGGGGCACAAGGTAGGGGTGTGTGTGTGTGTGTGTGTGTGTGTGTGTGTGTGTGAGAGAGAGAGAGAGAGAGAGAGAAGGAAGAGGGGAAAGAGGAGAGGGGGAAAGGGAGGGAGGAAGTGGTGCCTATGGAGTGGGAAGCAGATCCTAAACCATGCCCCCACTTGATCTGTATGCTGTCCTGAAAAAGCTGCTGGGTACTCTTGCTGTTTGGTTCAGATGAATAGAAATGTGTTTCCACAGATTTTGCCTCCTGCTGTTCTTATCCAATAAGGGCTGCTTACATTCTAACTTCCTGACCTGACATCTGAGATCAGCCTGTTGTCTGGCCCTGCCCCCTACACACATCTACTTATGCTCTTAGAGTGAAGCTTCCCTCAGAGGACTCAGCCTTGAGCCCAGATAGCTGGATTTGCCGGAAACCCAGCTGATTTCCTTTGTTCCTGACCTTCTTAAGACATCCAAAGTGAGGGTCCTGTGTGGTACTGATGAATCTCGCTTCTTTCAGATCTCAGGTGGGCTGTGCTACTTCCTGATTGTTGTTTCATCCCAAAGGCTGAGAATACTGCTTGCCACAAGACCCATTTCCCAAAAATGCTTTTAAACACCTCTTGGACTTAAGTCACTATATGCAATATTTACAGGGAAATAGCTACTGCAGTTTCTCTGGGAAGAGGCCAAGGAAAATAGAGAAAAATGTTTCCAGTCCAGAGACTGACTAAATTGTCCTGGCTTGGAAGAGGTACAGGATCAAGTCTAATTCCCATTTTTGCCCAGGAAACTGGCAGGCAGTTGAGCCCTTTGCTTCCCCTTGCCCAATCCTATGAAAGGCACACTAAAGCCAACGATTCCTGTCGTGGTAACCCAGGGAGTTGTTCCAGCCATGCCCTGGGCCCATTCAGCTGAGCCACGCATTCACAAACCACCTCACATTTAAACTGTACATTATTTCTATATGAGGGCATGCACAAACACCAAGATACACTGACAAGAGTAAAAAAAGACAGAGTCCATCATACAGCTGATGTGTCCCATTACCAAATCATATGGCATCCCAGAGAACTAAGAAATAACTCTTTCTATTGCCCTGTCATTATATTTTGAATAGTATGATGATATTTCATGGCTTTCTATATATGTGCAAAAATGTTAATTTGTTAAATGTAGATATTTCAGATATACCACATTGTTAAACCCTGTTTTGGACTTTTCTTCAGTTATTAATACACCAGAACATCCAAGTAAGAGAAGTGGCTCCTTATGTGACACCAGGGAATATGTTCCATAGGAATTGACTTGTGATTGTCAGGGTAACACCCAAAGACAAAAATGATAGGTCAGTGGACCTTGTAATACTTTTTTATATCATAGGGGAGGCATAGAGCGTGGGATGAACAATTATTACTTAACTGATTATTGAGTATTTATTTCATATCGAAGAATAAGTATTTTAGCCTGTTATGCACACATGATAGAGAGAGTGAAGTTTTTCCTTCCATACTAGGGATATGGCAAATAATCTTAGAGCTTTTACACTTTCTTCATTACAGAAATCTTACAAGTTATATAAAAACAGAAAGAGAAAAACACACAGATATTTTCAATGATATGAAATCCCAGTTAAAGATAATAGTTTAAGAATATTTTTAAATTCTGGAAAGAATGGAGTGTCTAAGTATCTACTTTAATGTGTGTGGCACACATAGGGCATATGTTCAACTAAATTACCAAACTGAATAAGCAAAAATTGGAACAGCAAGGACCACAGATACTCTGCTACAAAGCTGACTTACCTCCTAAGCAAGTGAGGAAGAACATGAAGTTCCAAGCATTCCTACACAAGGGCCACATAACATAGGGAAGAGCCTGATGAACCCACAAAATGAATAATGAGAGCTAGAATATCATCCTACTGCAGCTGTGATACTACTACTTGTTCTTAAGTTGTGAACCTACTAACCACACATACCTGCATTACCACTCCCCTCACCAAGAATTACTCCAAAAAGAAAAAAACAAGTTATAGGACTCGAGAAGAGCAAAGGAAAAGGTAGTGGCTTATAGAAGGCATCACACAGAGCCATTTTTAAAAGGCTCTAAACCCCAGACAAATGAACAATAATTTCACTAAACTACTATATAATCAAATATAAATTAATTTCAATAATATTTCAACGTTCAAGCAGAGAGGAAAATAAACAAACATAAATCCCTTATGAAAATTTAGCAAAGAATCAACTTAGCTTGATTAACAATGTGGAAACACATTTACCATTTAGAAATATATAAAAGTTTCCAAAACCAATGTCTAGCTGGGTAGAGCTTCTAGGCAGATTTCTTATCTGTACATACAGACATAACTTGAAGCAAATTTAAATAATCTGTCAGATGCATATATAGAGCTCTATTGTAATGAGCCATGGTCATAATTACCTTCTCAGAGATTAAGAAATTGCTGTTTCTTCTGAAATTTACAGATTAAATGAACTCCCTTGTTTAGGAAATCAGGTTATTGACCTTATTCTATCCTTGTGAGAAATTCTTCAGGAAAATATACATATATCTTAAATGTTTTTCTGTTACCATACTTAACTTTAGATATATGTTAATAATGTCATTATGAACAAATAAACCACAGGAACCTTTCAAATTTTCTTTGACTTAATTGCTTTATCTTTATATAGTTGACTAACTTTCTCTGGAACTTTTGATGGAACAATGATTTATTTCTTAGTTGCCTAAAGGCTTGAAAGAATTCATTTAACACCCACAACACTCACTTAAACCCAGAATCTGTCTCATTCATTTTCAAAATTCACTCCATATTTTTAGTAGTAACTCAAGCATGTAACTAAATATTTGATATTGGAAAGAACAGTATCCTTTCTCAATCAAAGCCCACAAATGTGGCACATTAATTTTTTTCTTACACGTAGAATTAAAGTGAGCAACTTACCCAAAACTACAAAAAAAAAAAAAACTTAGTTGAAGTCTTCCATTTGCCACAAAATATATGCCTTTCTTTGTTATATACAACAGATATCATTTTATTTCACTTAGGTGCATGGCCTGGCTGGAAAGTAAAATGCCTTTTGAAGTCAACCAGAAACAAAACCAAAAAAAGCAGTTTTACGATCATCTGCATTAGCTAATTATTTACATGCTGTAGATTATCACGTAGAATCTTAATATTTAGTCCAGAATCTCAGATGGTCTATTATAACTTCTGAAATCATTACTATTTACAAGAGAGAAGGTATTAGAAAAAAAGATAAATAATCAAAAGAATCCATGCGATGACACACTCTTCCCTTCTCCATTCCATACTCCATTTTCATCCATTATGCACGAAATGTCAATACTATACTTGTGTAGCTAAATATGGCTTTTTTGAATTTTTACTTATCATTCATACTGCAATACAGAACTAGATATGTGGAATGGAAATTGGTTTGGGCTAACCCTGAAAGCTCTAGATAAAATTAGACAAACAGAATCATGCAGTTGAATTACATACTGAAATTAGTGACAAAAGATTTACTGTGAGATTTAGATATATGTAGTCACAATGGGAAAATATGACTTTACCTTCATTTTAAGCAAATACTTTATGAACTCTGAGACATGGTAATAACCTACATTGTAAAAAAAAACTTATTCATCAACGGTCAGAAACATGCACTGTTAAGGAGGCCTAACCAGGTGGGGTACGTGGATGCAGTTTGGATGTTGACTCATTTCTTTCACAGCTTAATAAAACAGTCCCTTCCTCACGTGTGCAGTGCCTGCCCTTCGAGCTACCTGGAGCCATGCTCTCATCTCTTTCCTTGAACCTCTACAGAGCCAGGCTAAGAGGTACCTCCTCTCCTTCCAATGACAGTACCTTCCCTTTGTTCAAGATGGAGCCCATGCCATGGTCTTCCACAAGACTCAGTGTCTGATGGGTCTGAGCTAGGGCTTTCTCCTCAGCCTCCAAGTCACCAACACTATACACCGCCAGCAAAACCAGGACTCTCTTTCATCCTCTGTTGCCCAGGCCTCTTTCTACAGATAATAATATTTATGAAAGGGTAATGGCATTTTACGACATTACCCAGGATTAATGACTATATCGGACTAAATAGGATTTTGGAAAGGATTTTTTCACTGTCTGGGAGCCATGCTTTGTTCTGTGTTACCAAAACAGTAAAAAAAGTTACACTCTCTAGAATGTAGGTAGCATCTTTTCTGACCACACACAAGCAAGTAATATCATGAGTTTCATACCTTTGCAGCCACTGATGAGTTTGGTTTCTCCAGCAAGTCCCACAGTTTCTTTCTTTTATCAGGGCAGCAGGTATTATCAAACTCTTCTCCTTCTCGTTCTCGCATAGTCTCTGCCTCTCGCCTCAGTTCTTCATTCATTTGTTCTTTTTTTTGATGATATCTGGCCTGGCAGCAGGACTCTAAGTAAATCTCGTCAATCCCCCAGTAATCAAGTTCTTGGCCAAAAGAAAGTGCACACATTTCTTCCATCATATGGAGTTTCCCTGTCCGGTAGAAATTTAAAATGGAAGTGAAGGCTCCTGGATGCCGATCAAAGAAATACTCATTCTCATTCAGATTATAGTCATCACACACTTCCAGGAGGCTCTCGTGTGTGTTGCAGTCTCGAAGCTTCCCCAGGCGTGTCCTGGGCAGTCTGTCCAGTGTTCTCCACAGGACTTCGTGGTTGAGGCCCCCCACGTTGATTTTAACTCTCCTGGAGCATGTTTTGCTCCGGATAATGTCCACAGGCTCTGGAGGAAGAGAAAGTGTCGACCTCGAAGTCTTCCTGTTTAAGCCAGGGGGAGCCTTTTCTGCCATTTTGAGCTGGACAAAGCCCCAGAGCCACGGTCCTTAAAAAAATGAGATCAACTGAAGCAATATCCCTCTGGGGCAGGCATTTCCACTGACACAGCTGGAAGAAAGCAACAATCACTTGGTTACTTGCATTTTCCTAGAGTATTTCCTGTTCTATGGGATCATTCTGTTGTTACAACCTGAACGTACAATATAATGACTGAATACCTTTGGAGATACACATCTTTGCTTTAGGATATAAGAAAGGGGGAAAAGACAACACAGAAGGGGTTGCATATTTAATGGTATCTACCTACAGGCTGGCAACTCCCAAACATGTCACGAGAAACCTTTCTCAAGCTGCAGCCTAAAAGATCCATGTGCTGATCAACTCTTTCTTTTGACAGGGGCTCTCTCTGTTGCCCAGTCTGGAGTGCAGTGGCACCATCACAGCTCACTGCAGCCATGATCTCCTGGGCTCATCTCAGCCTCCCAGGTAGCTGGGATGTGCCATCACACCTGGCTAATTCTTGTATTTTTTGTAGAGACGGGGTTTCTCCATGTTGCTTAGGCTGATCTCGAAGCAATCCACTTGCCTCGGCCTTCCAAAGTACTGGGATTACAGGGTGGGCCACCACACCCCAACCTAACCAACTCCATCTAGATAAACCACATACATCTTAAGGTAAACTGACCAAGGTGCCAACCAGTTCCTGATCATCCTCCATCTCAGATTTATGGCTTTCTCCATGTCATACCCAGTCACCATCACTAAATCTCTGCGAAATTCCGATCCTTCCATCCACATCCAAATAAGCACCAAGTCTTACCAGTCATAACTCCTAGCCATTGCTTACGGCCTCCACCAGTGTTATCAAGGTTCCCATTACCACAATGCTGGTTCAAACCTTCAGCATCACTTGCCTGGACTCTTTTTTTTTTTGAGATACAGTCTCACTCTGTCACCCAGGCTGGAGTGCAGTGGCACAATCTCAGCTCACTGCAACTTCCGCTTCCTGGGCTCGTGATCCTCCCAACTCAGCTTTCCAAGTAGCTGGGACTATAGGCATGCACCACCATGCCCGGCTAATTTTTGTATTTTCTTTTTTTTGTAAAGACAGGGTCTCACTATATTTCCCAGGCTGGTCTGAAATTCCTAAACTTAAGCAATCCGCTGGCCTTGGCCTCCCCAAGTGCTGGGATTACAGACATGAGCCACCATGCCAGCCCTGGCCTACACTTCTAATACAGCCTTAAATTAGATCGGAAACTTGGGTTTTAACCACCTAAAAACCATTCTCCACATAGCTACTAGAATGCTCTGCTGAGATACAAATTTGACCTTGCCACTCACATGCTTTAAACCCTGTAAAATCTCATCATTCTTGGAATTTTATTTATGAAGTACTAAGAGCACTTTAAAGCCTAGTTAGTCCTATTAGGTCCAGCCTCCTCTCCACCTTCACCTCTCATCTTTCCCTCATGACTATATTCCAGCAACCCCAGACTGCACACAACATTCCCTTCCAAGCTCCTGGCCTTTCCATACTGTGTTCCAGAAAGACCATCACCTTTCTTGTTTCCTTTTGACTAACTAGTACTTGCTCTACAAGAGACAGCTCAAACCTCACCTCCTTCAGAGAACTCTCCATAATATTCCCGCTCTGGGATCATGAAACTTTCACCATACCGTTGCAATATACCTTTCCCATAGTATGCTGGGAGCTCTTGAGGACAAAGGCCATCTTCTTGATTATTATCTTCCTATCACCAAGCACTGTGCTTATACAATGTAGGAATTTAATAAATATTAAACGGTTAATCAATTGTTTATTTTCCATAAGAGAGCTGACCAAAGTAATGTATATGGCCAGAAAATGCATACATGGAGTTATTGGGATCACTTACTTAAAATGGGTCTATATTTATGTTATGTGTATATAATATACATCAGAATGTGTGTGTATGTGTTTGTGTGTATGTATTCTTCTGCTTCATGACTCTTTTCTCCTGTGTACTAATTCTTTAATGCATTACTGCTCTTATAGTCCCTCTTACTGATCTATTATTCTGATCTGCAGCAGCAGGCATCTTCTTAGTTATCTTCCCCTCTAATGTTTTTGCAGAAAATCATGGAGCTTCAAGCAATTCGTCCAAGACACCACCTTTAATGTAAAGCATCATGTTTCACACAGTCAACGGCTTATATTAAAGGGAAAAACTATTAGATTTAAGAGGTCTTTATAATTAGACCTCTCTTTTAAGATACACACCAATTTCTGCATGCCTCTGGCTTCTCCAACCTGCAAGTTAAATTTATTTCTCCATCTGAGGCCAAAGATCCTCTTGAATGAATATAAGTCAAGGTAATGAAAAATGTAGATGGACTATATAAAAAGTATTTCAAATGTGGCCATAAAATATTCTTGCATCAGGAGTTTTTTCAACTACAGAGTTACATGAATATTTTAAGCATATATATACACATTTTCATCACACATGAGAAAAATGCTTATTTTTACAAAAATAAGAAGATCTATAATGATTTAGAAAACAACTTAAATTCTCTGGGCTTGACTTTCCTAATCTACAAAATAAAGATAATAGTATCTATTTCATGGACAGTATTACGATGATTAGATGAGATCATTCATGTGAAATGCTCACTACATGGAGGTATATCTGAATAGAATAAGAATATTCATATTTCTCCCTAAACTTTTGTTTCTAAGCACTGAAAGAAAACTAAGATTAAAAGCTATATCAGTGTCTATTAAATAAATTCTAGCTTTTAAATTTTTTCTCTACATATATGTTGTCTTCCCATTGAATTATAAAGGCCTGGGATTGTGAATTCAGCTTTTCTTGACTGAGCACTGAACCCATGCATAACAGGCACCTCATAGCATCTGTCTTTGGTGCCACTGATGTTAACGTTCAAATTTTATATTCAAGTGACAATTAACTACACATATTTTAAAAATTGAGCAACACTATCAGGATCAGGCCAGAACAGCTGAAAGTAATAGAGATGGGGCAATTCCAGTGATTAATCTGAATGTGGAGTCTCCATTAACTTAGTTGCAGGTACACTGACATCTCCACAATCAATCATCAAATTGTCCACATAAATGACAAAGTACGAACCGATGCATTTTGAATTTGAATAGAAATATAAATAAAATAAACACGGTGTTCATTTTGAACACCACATCTTATTCTAATGTGAAGAAGATAAATCATTTTTGAACTGATTATAAAATCAGATAAGAAGTTTTCCAGGAAGAGAGCTAACTCCAGAATGACACAAATATCTCATTTGTTTGTGGTGAAGGGCATGGTGTGACTTGCCATTTTGAAGAAGTTATTAAAAAAGAAAATGCTATATCATAGTCACTTGTAGGTCCCTATTTGTCTTAAAACAATTTCACGTGCATTGTGTATAGTGAATTTTCCTTTTCGTAGGGTGTGTGTCTCAAGTGAAGAGAGGTCAGGTCATAAGACTTAAATTTCAAAATATCTTCTTCACTGATCAAGAACTTTCTATTATAAGAAATCCAGTGTTGATTACAAGTTCCGCAATAAAAGACAAACTGAAATTCAATGCCCTTTCTTCATAGCAGGGTTAGAGAAACTAAAAGTGAGGAAATGAGCCTGTTGATTTAACTTTCTTAAGACTTAAAGATGAACTGCTCTTATTATTGTTACTGTGGTTAAAAGATTTTTTATTTTCCCAGAGTAGAATGTTCTCCTTGTTACCTGATGAAGAGTGCAGGCTCAAAGGCGTAAGTTCCTGAGCAGTTGAAGAGCTGTGAATAGTGTTTCAAAAGTTAATCAGGCCTTCAGAATAAGCCTATAATAAATGGAAGCTGCAGAGCATAAGCCCTGATCAACAGTGCCTTTGAAACTCACTGAACCTTTCTGCCTGCCTGCTTGCCATTCTCCCTTCTATCTCTTCTTCTGTGGGTTTCTCTCTTACTTTCCCGCATGTCTGTTATGCCACGTGCTACCTACCTTTCTTCCTTTTTTTTCTTCTCCCTTCCTGTCCTGATCCCTAGATCTTTCCATCCTCACAGCCTCTTAAACAAGCATAAAACCAAACTATATTTTTTTCAGACTTGTATGTACTTCTCTAAGTTTTCTGTAGCCTATTTTAAGATAAAGGCCTCCTGGGCTAGAAAATACCTTGTCTCCTTCTAGGAGACATCTAAAGAGAGTTGGAGGGCATATGGAATCATAAAAGGGGCTCTGTGTGAGGCTCAGGACACCTCAGTTCCATATCCCCCTCAATTGCTAATTGAACTTTAATTTCCTTACCCATTAAGTGGTGTCTTGTCCATGCCTAAAATTCTTTGATTTCCTATGACCCTTGATTAATTTTTTCCTTTCACTGTGATTCTGCTGCTTTTACGTCCCTATGCCCTCCAATCACCATCCTTACTTTAGACAGAAATAAACTTATCATGCCGCCTCACAGTCAATGAAACATTTTCCATGTCTAGTTTCTTGAGGAAGGTGATTTTCATATTTCATTTCAAGAACCCTTTACTTTAATATTTATCGTGGCTTGAAACAACTACCTTCAGAACATCATGAAAGTTTCATTAATTTTATTTAGCATTTAGTTGATTTTCTATCCTTTAACTTTTCATTTTAAGTTTATGTTCTTTTCTGCCATATTAATTTTACCTCTAGCAATGAATCTGCCAGTTTCCTGTGGGTAAGGGTATTGCGTTTTACTACCCTAGAGTGTTCACAAAATTTACGTTTTTAGTTTTAGTAATTAAAGTAGATATGACCTAACCTTTTCTCACATACAGTTTCATAAGTGAATTTATGTCTATCATAATGATTTTTTACCCCATAAAATTAATCATGTACTTCAATTCTGCATATAAGTATACTATAAAATGCAATAATTCAGTGCTTAAATTGTGTAGGTACTATGCAACTGTGAATAATTTAAAAACATAAATTGTCAGTATAAACACAAGACACTTTTTTCTGAGACCTCAGAACATATGTTTTTACGTCAAGGGCAGAATTTCAGTGAATATTTTCTTTGGGCAGTTTGTTGATTTATTTCACCGCCTTCAATCAATCAAGCCAGCTACAAAT